GTTTTCATTGCAGTCAAATCTCTTGGTCCTATTTAGTTTGGCTTGCACCTTTTTTGGTCCTCGATCATTTTTTTTGTTGTTCCACTGCTGAAATTCATTGTTTTCCTGGTGAATCATGACCAAACTAGAGCTGATAGAGACAAACAAAGAAAAGAATTAATCAAATAAATAGGAAATGCAATGGGAATATAGAAACCACACAAAGAGGTCTGATTGTCGATTGAACTGGAAAGCCATTTGGTGATTATATTTCTAGCATCACAGTGATTCATTATTGTTGCTATAGTGTTACCCCCTCTTTCTACCCACTTCTTTGTGGGAAAGGCAGGAGGAGCAGCAAACTGTGCTACTGAAAGCACCCAACACACACATTCAAAAGGGAAATGAAGCCTCTTGGAAAAAAGGAGAAAAAGTGCTACCTTGCAGAACAATAGAAAGACTCAATCTCATGAGCCAAAATGGAGTGTGAAATCTACATGTCTGCCTAGTCTTCCTACACAGATACTATATTATATAAGCGCTCCAGGCTTCATTCATGAAGGGTTACAATTGATGAACTGCTTTTCATACCCTTTCACAATACTAAGTGACCAGAAAATGAAAATGGAAAGTGTAAATAATATAATACATGAATGTCAGAAAAACCAGAATTAGGAACATGTGGCAAATGGTGTACCTCCAGGCAGACAAAGTATGTGTGATGACCTGGAGAAACAGCTACTGGTAGCTCTGGACTAGTTTACAATAGAGATGATATGACATAATAACTGCCTGCAGTAGGCAGCTGGATTCCCCGGGGCAGCGTGCCATGGCCTCCTGAGGACATCAGGATGAAGGGAGCACAGGTCGCCTCAGCCATGCCCTGCAGATGTGTCAGGAGAATGCGATGGGATGTGGCTGGGAGATGAGGGCAGGATGAGGATGGCTGGGTGAGACCGCTGTGCAGCCCAGCTTCTGGGATTGCTTTCATTTAGCTTTTCTGGGTTTCAAAGGCTGATAATCAGGATATTGAGGAGAAAAATTAGATGAACCAGACATTTTGTAGATTTGATTAATTACAGAATGTTGATGCTCATTTTGTCTTGTTGTATTTCAGTATAAACATATTACTCTTTGAGGAGAGCATTTGTGTAATATTGGTATTTAGCTTCTGCCAGAGGAGGACTTCTTGTTGCACATCAGTCCTTCCTCTCAACCTGACTGTTGGTAAGAACTACAGTTGGTTGCTTTTCTTTGATTAGACTCATTACTTGCTTTATGAAACCATGGAACATGATTACATTACACTGTTGATGTATTTACATTTCCTTTATCATTCTTTTGTTTAAGTATTCTTATGTCCTTTTGGAATAGGCACACGGTATATCCTGAACACACAGGTGGGTTTTAGAGCACTAATAACAGACTTCAACAAGTGTTGCTACCAAGCCAAAATCTGCAAAATTGTTCTGAGTGGGAGGTGTGCAGTGCTTCAGAAAACTTTTATTGACTCTGGAGTTTGAATTTCTTCCAGCTTCTGCAAATGTAGCTCTGCTAAAGATATTTTTGTATATTCAGGAAACAAGTCTGAGTACTCTTTTGAGCAATATGTCAAAAAATGACAATAGTGAAGGAAAAATGAAGCTACAAGGAATGTAGTTGCTGGGTACAGTTGAATATTGTGAAATACAATACCAGTTTGTTGTAATAAGTGAATCATGGGTTACAGGCAAATCAGTATTGTACTAATTTCAGAATAGAAGTCTGAAATTTGTACTCAGAAGGCCATCTTCATTGCAGTGTAGAAATTGATATGCATATCTGTTGCAAATAACATAGTTTCATATCCACAGACATATCCAACAAATTGATTGAAACGCTTTCCAGAAGCTTAAAAACATTCCACTTTTCCAGCTCAGAATGACCTGATTCCTATTTGATTAACTATCATCTTGATTTCCACATGAAATAATTCTCTTCTATTTGTAAAATAATATTCTTTACATTTCACCAGTATTTCTCATACCATCAAAATTCCATATCACTAGCAGTTTTTTCCTGCAGTTGTTTTCTGTTTTTATTCCTTCACCACAAAAAGTAATCTTGTGTTTTCAAATAATCTCAAACTGTCAGCCACTGCTTTTATTTCCTCTTTTATATGATTTCATAATTTTATTCTGTATTTGCTTCTCAGGCTGCAATTTAAATTTTTGCTCTTTCCCTGTTTGGCTCTATGGATCAGTGGTCTCATTGCTCACTAAGTCAATCCCCATCTGTATATTTTTCTGTTGGCTTCTCCTATATGCTTCATGTCTGAGTAATCTAAAATATTGTATATCATTCTTGTTCTACTTCTTTATCTCTGAAGGACAGTAATAAGGTAGAGAAGAAACAAGAAAGGCAATAATACTGGTTAGATATATGTCTTAACAGAAAGAAACTACAGATTAAATAGTATAGACCTCCTCAGACTGGGAAACAAATGAGAAAGGAGGAAATAATAGAAGTCTATAAACCCAGAAGGGGGAAGGTGAAAGGAGAAGATGAGTGGATAATGTTATCACAACAGTAGGAAGCTTGAAATGAATTGTCAGTAGCAGGTTAGACAAAGACTTCTTTTCCACAAAGCACAATTAAATAGTGGGACTTACTGCCTCAGGAGACCAAAAGTACAAATGATTTGAAAGAGGATTTGACAAGATTGATGGAGAAATTATTAAACATGATGTCCTGAAATCCTCTGAACTGCAGATTCCAGGAAAGATATATACCAGGGAAAGATCCCCCCTGTTTTTATCTTCTTCTTTATTTATACTTTCCTATATCCTTTCCCTGAGCGTTGTCCACTCATCACTGTCAGGGGCAGGGCTTTAACCCAAGTGGGCAATGCCATGTCCCTGCTGTGTGGTATTGCTCCTGCTCGAAATCCTGATCCCAGGCAGCTGGCACCCCTCAGCAAGCAGAGAGCTGCCTCCTGCAGTGGAGCTGGGGAGCAAAATATGGTAATTGCTTCTAAACCTGTAGTTGTTTCTTTTTTTCCCCACAAGCAATGCTTAGCAACTAAGAAAGTCTAGTTATACATTGGAATGTAGTATGTGCTCTGATGTTTGATTTGAGAATGACAGTACAAAGACCTGTGTTTTCTGCTGAATGTGATAGAGCCACACTGGGACTCGCTGCCTCTCTCAATCCATGTTCTGCATTTTGAGGTATTTACAGGTGAACGTGCATTTCCCATCCTGCCTCTTTGGGTTCTTTGCTTATGGCCCTTAACCAGGTGATTCAGAGCTCAGAGACAACCGAACCTAATGAGCTCAGGCTCTGTCTCCAGTAGTGAGGCCCCAAGCAGTGCCCATAGGTGAAGATGAAACAGCCCCAAGTCTCAGTGCCACTACAGGCAGGGCTCACTGCTGCAGAGGTCCCGTGTCTGTTAGTCTTTGCATGTCTTCCACAGGGCGGAGGTCATGACTGGTATAGAACAGGCTGCAAAGAAAAGAAGCCAGCATCCAAACTAGGATTGTAGGGAAATCAGTTCGTAGAGAGGGGGGAAGGTAGAAAGTGAGTGGAAACATTTATGTGCCAAGACAAATGACAGCAAAAAGCTGTTATGAAGAATATTTTGTCTCTGTGACTTCGGTACTGTAGCCCTGTTCTCCACAATACAGAGCTGCAGTCCAGCTCTCTCCAGCAGAGAACTTTAATGAGGAGGCTAGAGCCTCCTTCAAGTCCTCTGGGAGCTGGGGTTTGGAGAATGTGGCCCAAAGAGACCACAGCTCAGCAGACCATGGCTCAGAGGGACCAGAGCTCATCAGGCACGACAGCTCAGCAGGACCATGGCCCAGACGGACCACAGCTCAGCAGGACTGCAGGTCAACAGGACCATCCTCAGCAGCACCACAGCCTAGCCAGGAGTGAGGCGAGTGGGGTGAGGTTGAGGGCTGTCATTAAATGCGCAGAAGCAGAAGCCACGTCCAAGAAGGAGCAGTGCTACAGCAGGTTTCCTGCGGTAGAATGAGTGCAGTTGGAAGCATGGTTTCTTCATGCTGTGGTTGTCTGTCTTCAGAGCACAAACGTACCATGATTCAAATACAATTTCCTTTATTTTTCAGAGCCCTGTTTCTTTATTTTATAATTAGCATCTCACAATTGTGAAAAGAAGGAAACAAATAAATGTGTACCTTGCCCAACATGATTTCTCTGTTCTCCTAGCAAGATTGGCTTCACTGATTAGTTATTTCTTCCCTTATTAATCTTCTCCAGACCCTATTAAAACAGGAGCAAACTTACTTAGCATGTATATTAGTCTAATTTGGTTAATGTTCTGGACACGCTTGCTCACTCGTTATTCTTCAGTAACCTCATATTAAGACAAGATGGTCTAACCAAAACAAAAGTATTATTTGCAAGCTTTGGTAAGGGAGAGAGATGAGAGAAACCTGAAGCAGCTCAGACCTGAGAAATCCCTCAAACTGGAATGAGACCAGAGGAGACATTGGTTAAGATCCAAGTACAGATTTGAGCTATGGAGCAGGACGTGGACAAACAAGAAAAGCTCAGCAGTGACTTATAAGAAGCTGATAATTGCTGGCTGACACCGGGTCGGATGCAGGGCTGTGAGGCGCTTCACCTGCTGGGTCCCTGGCTGGGCCATGGCACCGTGCTGGGTGTTGGTCCACGTGCCATCTATTCCCTAGCCACAGCTTGGTGAGTTACAGGGAGACTTTATTTTGGGCAGTGTGACTGTGGTGGGGACAGACCTGTGCCTGGCAAGTGACAGCTGCCCCTGGGTTGGACCCCTGCATGGAACAGCTTCAGAGACAAGTAGTGAGTGTGATAATCCTGGAGCTAGAAATGAAACAAGGTACAACAATAGCAGATTAAGCCTTCCAACAAGACAAAAATTAAAATCTGATTTGTTTCCTGTGTATTTTCTCTTGCTTTTTGTTTCATTCTGGTTCTGGAGGAAAGGCTTGCATGGCCTACCTTCCACATGCTGCAGGGACACAGCGAAGCTCAAGTAGATAGCTGTCTGGAGGAGTGACCTCTATTTTCTCCAGAGCTGGCTGTGCTACCAGGAGTTGCTGTCAGTACCTCTGTCTACTCTGTCTAGCCTGGGACAAAACTTCTGTTCAGTAACTAATGGCTTATTTTAAAAAACCCTTCTGTTTTGTCTTCCAGGGTTTGGCATGACCACCCCAGCCACCGTTGGAGGCAAAATTTTTCTTATATTTTATGGCCTTATAGGATGTGCAGGGACCATCTTGTTCTTTAACCTGTTCCTGGAGCGCCTGATCACTGTCATAGCCTATGTCATGAAGTCCTGCCATGAGAGACAGCTGAGGAGGAAAGGGGTCCTCCCTCACGACGGCCGGCGGGGCTCAGGGACCTCGGAGGTGGACAGCCTGGCAGGCTGGAAGCCCTCAGTGTACTACGTCATGCTGATTTTGTGTGTAGCATCGCTCATCATCTCCTGCTGTGCCTCTGCAATGTACACACCGATTGAAGGGTGGAGTTACTTTGACTCGCTGTACTTCTGCTTCGTGGCCTTCAGCACCATTGGCTTTGGTGATCTGGTCAGCAGCCAGAACACCCACTATGAGAGCCAAGGCCTCTACCGCTTTGGCAATTTTGTCTTCATACTCATGGGGGTTTGCTGCATCTATTCCTTATTTAACGTGATCTCTATCGTCATCAAACAATCTATAAACTGGATACTAAAGAAGCTGGACTGCAGGTGCTGCCATAGATGCCAAAGAAAATTATTTCGGTCGCGGAGGAACGTGGTAATGCCAGGAAACGTGCGCGGCCGGAGAAACATCTCCATCGAGACTGACATCGTCAATGAGAGCGACACAGACGGGCGCCGGCTGTCAGGCGAGATGATCTCAATGAAGGACTTCCTGGCCTCCAACAAAGTTTCACTGGCCATCATGCAGAAGCAGCTGTCTGAAACTGCCAATGGCTACCCACGGCAAATGAGCTCAAAGCAAAATGGATTCTCTGGTGGAGTTGGAGCCCTAGCAATTATGAACAACAGACTGGCAGAGACAAGTGTGGATAGGTAATATAATACAGAACAGTATTATAAAATAGTACAGGAATAACAGTGAAGCGGTGTGAAGCATTTCAACACGTACAAAAACAGTGTGGATCATGTGGATGTACCTAGGCAGAGTACTGTCCTAGGGAGAGGGTGAGGTGGATGTGAAAAGCATACTTTCTGTTGGAAGACCACTTACACGTTTTTGGGCTGTCACTTAATATGGCTCCATGAATTGCACCAGTCTCAGCCTTTCTTCCTCCCCTCCCTTCTGTGCCTCCAACAGGCCACTGCAGGAGAAATTAAATTTAGCCTTCAAATCAATTTTTCGCATCCTTTGCTTTTCCATTTTTGTGAAATACAGATTTCAGGATACAAAATCTTTGGTATTGGAACAAATCAAGAGGATCTTCTGAACGTATTCTGAACTCAAAGATTGTTTTGAGCTTTCTGTCTTAACTCTTCTCATAATTGTTTTCTGAAGGTAGCTTGTTTAAGGCTAAAGGAGTAATCATTATAAGCCTTTCTCTGTCATATTGCAGATTTAATTAGATCTAATTTAATGGAATAGGAAAAAAACCTGAAAATAGAAGAAAAAAAAATCTATTTTCTTTTAAATATCACTCCTTGAAATGTATTCCTGTTGTGAAACAGCTAGCTTTGAAAAGCCAGGTTCTGCTGCCATTAAAATTGTATAAATCTGGAGTAATTGTATGAAAGGTGGACTAAGTACTCTGAAGCTGTTGTGATTTGAATGAGAGGAGAATTTGGCCTTTAGAATTTATTTTAGTCTTCCCTTTAAAAGGATTCTGACAAAAGTGATAAAATAAAAAATTAGCCTACTTTTGTTTTTTTTTTCTTTCTATTGGTGAAACACGTGATTTTCCGATGGCTATTTTTTCTTCTAAAATTGAATCACAGTTTTTTGTTTCAAAAATATTCAATTAATTGAAAAAAAAAAAAAAAGCCATACTGACAAGCTGTTTGAATTGCTGTACAATAACAACCAGAGAATTTTACAAATTTCTGTTCATATTGTGCTCAATTGTGACTGAAGCAGTTCAGCATCAACATTATGTAATGTAACTTGTAACTGGGTTTACAGAACAGGCTTCATTACACAATTAGATTGCCATGCCAACATTCGGTGCATTATTATAAGTGACTGTGGTCACAAAATCACTTCAGCAATGTCCTTTTCACCTCTTATGCAGTTTTGTCTTTCTTCACCTCTTTTTTTGGCATTCAGTAATGATAATGACAGGGTCTTGATTAGAGGATTAAAAAACGTTTAACTCCTCGTTTTTCTCAATGAAATGCTCTGAGTGTTCATTATGAGTAGAAAGGAGACTTCAATGAGAAGCATAATAACAGCAAGAGGAATATGAAAACAGGAAACTGGGTGATCTTTAATGACAGTGAAATCATGCTTTCTATTAGATAACTGGAGAAATAAGGGATTGAATTAACATAGAGTCTAGTGAGAATTTAAGGAGGTCTGGGCTGAATTCCTAGTTCTTCTTTAACCATGCAGTGCATTAGAGCTGAACGGGATATAAGTGTAAATATACTGACTGAGTCACAAAAGGACCTGATCCAGTTCTCCCTAAAGAGAATAGTACGTGTATCAGGACTGAACATTTTCTCACTTCTGTTTAGCTAGAATAGGTATTCCAGAATACTATTATTTTAGGACATTTAAAGGAGTCCCATACAGTTCTTAATTTCTCTCATATGGAAAAATGCAGATAGCTTCTTCAGCTTACAGAGTAGTATCACATCCTTTTTTTTCATTCTGCCTCTGAGTTCTTTTTTTTTAAGTTCCTAACATTGTAAGATGGTATTTCAATACTCATTTCAAGCAATATTTGCATTTGAAAAGAAAACATACCTCTTGGAATCTTTCATACAATAAAGCAAAATCAGAAAATAAACAACTGCATGTAACTTATGAAAAAGATTGCACGCTCTTCCTGACATTTTAAAGTTAAAAAATTCTGATTATAAGTCAAATTTTTCTGTCCTTAGTTACAAGGAGAGCTTCAAGCTGCAGCCACTACTGGCAAGCCTACTGTCAGCTCAGCTGTGCAGCAGTGAAATGTCCCTCCACATTTGCCATCATGTAAGATCCAAATCAGCTCACAAACCTTAACTCTGGCCAGAAGAGCAATTGCATTCGTCTCTGGTGGTTTGACGTGTTTTCAAAAAATTGCTGCTGATATGTTTTAGTTACATTATAGTATCCAAAATCTATTACACTGTTACACTTTTTTTTTCTTCTCCCAAAGCTTTGTCTCAATCATACTGAATAAAAATACTTGGATATAAAATAAGAAAAGTACTTCTTTCTGATTTTGTTCAGCAGTGTCTCTGTTCACTGCCTGTAACCCTGTTGCAGAAGTATTCCTCATGCTGCCAACTATGAGAAATAATTTAGGACTTCACCCATTGCTTAAGCAGAGCTCTCATCCTGATCAAAATAGCTACAACCTTGGGAAGTGCAGCTAATATCTCCATTTATGCTGATTATTAAATCTGACGTACTTGAAAATATCCAATTTTGCTGAGTGCTGTAGACAGAAGATACCCAGTGCTACCCCCTTTCCTAGATGATCAAGGCAAAACCACATGAAATAAACCAAAATACGCAAGTTCCTTGAATCCATTTTATTCTACAGTTCTGCATCATCATTAATGACCAGGATGCTGTATAGGATTTTAAAATCAATCCTTCCCTACCTAATTAGCTTTCAAAATTTGGTTCTGGAGATCTAAGCACAACACAGTGAAACAGCAGAAATAATATTTCAGGCAATATTCATAACAAATAGTTGAGAAAACATGTTGAAGAAGAGAGAAATGCATGGGAACTAATGGAAATAAGGAAAACATAACAATCTGCCTAGTCAATTCAGCAGAGATTTTTCAGCTTTCAGAATACGACAAAGCCTGGTAGCAGATCTTTAGGGTGGTCATAGGGTGATCCTCATTGCTCCCAAAGTGCAAGCCAGCAGTATTGCTCCTTTCCATTCTTTGAGATACCAACCCCTCATCCATCACAACAGAGAAAACTTTCTCACCTGTTTTCAATATATTTAAAACCATCTATAGTTATGAAAGCAGGGGATCAAGCAAATGGTTTGGTCAAGGCTGTAAGAGGTTTTTGGCATGTGCTAGCTCTGCCTTTGTTCATCAGCCTTGCCCTTCTTCTCTCTCAGGCTATGGTTTCTGCATGACCCAAGCCTGCCCATCACAAGGCACTCTACAGTGGTATTGTGGTCAGATTTCTTGTCCACTGAAGGTAAAGAGGGAATAAGTGCACTAGTTTTACCTAATCACCTCTGTTCAGATGTGAATTGCTGTTCCAGAGACGAAGAGCTGTACATGCTGTGACTGTGCCACCTTGTATCACAAAGTCATGCTGTCCCCAAAACACCTCTGACTTACCAGTTAGAAGCTCTGCTGAATGCTTTCCCTGTGAGGCCAGAAGAATCATTAGAGAATATTAGGGATTTGAAAAAAAAAAACAAAAAAACTTCAAGACTGGAAAGGGAACTTCTGCTGTGCTACAGTGGGGCTACTGCAATAGTTTTTTTAAAGCTATTGGATGAAAGCCCCAAAAGCTCAGTTCATAATGTAACATCAAGTTTTTAAAGACATCCAAAGACTTGGAGATAGAAGTATAGATGTGCCAAAAAAATAAGAATTTATCATGGGAGTTCCAAATGTCCATCCTGTGTAAAAAAATAAACAACAGAAATTCAGGCAACATCACATTTCTTACAAATGAAAGCAGTGATGAGGAGAAATGAAAAGAAATATTGTCAGATAGCTAGAGATCTATTTCAAAAGCAAATTTAAATTTTAATTTGTATTGCTTAGAACTAAAATCTCAGCCAAGAAGACAGGAACCTGCTTTCAGAATTACTGGTTCCCCATTTCCTGATATGAATTTGCATTATGGCTAATGAGATGTGGGCTTTATTTTTTTAATGCAGAAATGTTTCTGTGAAAATCTTGGATGTATTGAAGCTCTGGATCTGCACTTCAGGTCAGGAGTACCACTAAAGCCAGTGGATTAAGCAGCAAGTTGCAGGCTGGCATACTGAAACTCCTTGATGAACTAATTTACTGGAAGTCAGGCTTATAAGTTATGCCACGCCGTAACAATATAATTCTTGTGAAATACCATTATTGCACAATAAAATGGAATATCTAATGCTAAAAATATATGATCACATACTGTAAGTAAGGGCAGCACTCAGGGTTTTTTGATAGGCTTTGTAAAACTTGTTCAATTTGTATCAAAGGCATTACATTCATTTATCTCTGCAAAGGACATGGTTTTCTGTTTATAAGGATCTGAACAGCCTTTTCAAAGGCATCTAATTCCTGCTGGAAATCAGTTCACTTCTTGCCACACTTTGACTTTCAGCAGAAGTCAGGTACACATTTTCTTTGGGCAATTTCATAACCCAGCTATGTTCTACGTTTTGAATCTAAGCTGACCTGACAGTGTCCCTGAAAAGTTCAAACACTAGCAGCAAGGTTTCTGTGCTGCCACACAATAATAGCTGAATTCATTTATTTAAAAGCCTTTTATGGTGAAAGCTTTGCATCAACCCAATAGCACAGGCAATGTTTACAGTTTGTTTGATTTAATCTTGGCCTCTGCCTGTTTTAATTATATTTGACACATTTAGAAATTGAATAGCAAATAATCTGCTGGGCTGGGCATGAAAAACAAACTGGCTCAGTTTCTCAGACTGAATTAATCAAGCCAAAGAGGTCGTCTTGGGGAAGGCGATTTCTCATTAACATTGTATTTGAATAAATTTCCTCTGGGTTTTAGGTTGGCCACTTGGCTGTGGCTCTGGAAGCAGAGCTGTTTGCCCCTGCCCCCAGTGTTCCTATTTGTGGAATAGCAGCTCAGTTTGCAACTTTTCTTATTTTGACTTAGTTTAGTAAAATTTGGCTAGTGCCTTAATTTCTTGGATTTCTTGAAGAAGTAGGAAAGTTCTTTGGTAAAATTTCATTTACAAGCTGTGGAGAATCACCAAGTGTCTTTCCACTGGGCAAAAATACTGCTAAATATAGAAAGTAGTCTGAAGCTTTTTGATACAAAAAAAGTATATATTTCATGTGAAACCAGAGAAAAACCCAGTCACTGCAGCTATTTGGAAGCCTTAAAAAATAGAAGTACAATCTCATGGAGTAGACACAGTCATTTCTATTTAGTTCTTCTACAGTTCTGCTCTAATGTTTTCCTACAGTTTTCATTTTCTAGGATTTTGGGAGGCAGGTAGGATTTGTTCAAAAAGAAATATCCTTTTCTTCACTCTGCCTATTGTTTTATAAAGGAAAAAAAGTTTGATTAAAAGAAGAATTAATGCTCTTGCTTTCCAAGCAAGTGTGCCATTTTCTGGATTCCAAATGGACTTCCTATTAGGTGTCTGTACAGAAGTTGCTAGAGGAAGGCAGGATGCCCTAGCTTTCAAACTTTATCTTAAGAAATACCTTACAAAGCTATACTCCTTTCAAAGCAATGAAATGTTGCCAGTTTTTCTGTTTGTGGTCTTTTTGAGAAATTTAACCTTGTTCTTTGGTACCTTTTGAAGAAAAAGATGCATAAGAAGAAAAATTTAAATAACCCTAAATAACCTTAAAATGTAGCTGCTTGGAACTGCGGAGTCCTCTCCATTTTGCTAATTTGAAGTTTGTGTCAGAGTTTAATACCACCAAAGACATTTGGTCTTACTGAGAGTTCAAATAAAAGAACTTTAAAGCTTAATTATTCTATCTGTTTTAAATGTTGGAAATGAGCTGGTGATCTGAAGAGTGGGTGCTATGCTAAGC